TCTCAAGGTTGACTCAGCCTTTTGTCGGTGAAATGAGGACCCAGATTGTTGGGATCAATATGTTGACTCTGTAAAGCCACTTAGAGAGGGCTGAAAAGCACTGGAAAGCGGTATATATAAGTCTAAGCGCTATTGCTATTTTATTCTGTTAACAGTTCTCACTTTTCAGCCAATTAAGAAAAAACCAGCATGTCACCATCCCACAACTTAACCTATAAAAACAAAGTCCACCCTTTCAAGGCAGACAACTCATATGAAATGGTCATGAAAGTAGAGAGCGGGAACCTGGAGAAGGGCACAACCTCTACAGTAGAGACCGGGGCATTGGTGTAAGATGGAATGAAGTGCAATAGGTGGATTGGCTTCCTAATGTGTGACCGAAGGGAGAGAAGGTTACCTTTGATGCAGAATAAGTACCATTAGATGGAAGTCACCTTCCCAGCAACAAGCTGAGGATGACATCATTCTTTTCTACCATTCCTAAATTGTAGGGTGACCTGTCTTCATGCAGAAAATGCAGATCAGTTCTGAGTCTCTAATGATCTTCATCCTATCAGCATTTGATGCTCTTCCAGTTAGTTGTTCTAGGCAAAACTATCACAGTGTGTAAATGTCAAGTTTCATTTTGCGAACAATTTCAAAATCATGTATCCTTTAAAAATATGAAGGGATTGCTCCTTGTTGGCTAGTAAATCTAAGTCTAAACTAGTTACCTTCTCCCATTCCTGTGGGTCGAAAAGTATTCTACAAAGTTTGTGAACATCCTTCAGGTGCTACATTATTTCCTATATAATACCATTTTTAAGGTAGATCCTCCTGAGAGCTCTCTTCACTATTCTTCTGCAGAATAACCCCAGATTTGAGTTACATAAGTAGTTTGCTCAATTCAATTTTCAAAACATTCTCTCCTGTGGAGATGGGTATTTTCTCAAAGAATTAACTTCTCAGGAGTATTCCAAAAGCTTCCCTTGGTGTTAAAACAATAGTAGAAGTGTTTGTTGCTCATGTTACCACTGTGGCATATAATTCCTCTGCATTTCTCATGGTTTTCTTTATGAATCCAGGAAGACTGAATATTTGTTTATTTAAAAAAATGACATGTTTTCTGGGAGTAACTGGGAAGCTATAGCCTTACAATTTTCCATGGAGAACAATTATTACCATTTTTTAATAGCATAAACGTATGATCTACTTTCTTATCACGAAAGGAGCTGCTGGAATGGATCTTGTGTCTTTCTGTCTGTCTGCCTGCCTATCTATCAATCATATCATATCTAAATTCCATTTTATTAACATCAAATACATTATGTGCAATCAGAACTTCATATGTAAATGTATAAATGCATATAAGATTAATAGTTTACCCAGAAAGGATAAAAATTCAAAATTTAATCCTAAAATAGCTAGATATATTTTAATTTTATCCAATTAAGGGAAAATAGCAATAGCAGAAAATAGAAGAATGTAGAGATTTCAGCAGATAGTTCAGGATATGTTAAGATTTCAGAGACCGAATTATTGATTTTTCAGGCTCCTTAAATACAACTTATTCAGTGTTTTTCTTTCATCTTCAAATCACAAATTATACATCCCCACAAAGTGCTAAAGCTTCCACAGCTAATCAAGTACTACTTGTATTCTGCACTGCAATAACCTATTGTGACTCACTATTACCATCTCAACACTCTGCAGACATTCCAAACAAGTCTAAAATAAAAGCTGCTAACTCAGACAGTTAAATAGGAAATGGAATGCCAAGCAAATTTTAGCATTAATAATATTACACTTGCTAATTGTTTGCCTTCAGTGCTGTTTTATTTTATGTTTTAACCTGCAGAGGCTAATAATTTGCACTTGAATGCTTGGGCCAAGAATATTTTTGCATCACTGGCGGCAATGCTTTTATTTTTAAAAAAAAGAATGTTTAGTTAACAGAGCTCCAGGAGGCTGGCTAAAATGACGGATGTTTGGCTGCTGAATGACTAGTACTGAAAACTGGGGCTGTGCATACACATACAATTTGGGGAGGTCTAGGTAAGCTTCTGAAGCAACTGGGATTTGCACATTATACACCTTCTTTTATGATTGGAGAAAAGGTGTTTTGTATGTGCTCCTTGCCATTGCAAAGCACCTCTTTTGAAAGCCTCAAGTAGCCCTAGAAAGAAGATGACTGTAGATCAATTAGCTTTCCTACACACACACACACACAGAGTTACACACACACACTCACATATACATATACATACATACATTCTTTTAATAACCCCGTAATCCATTAAATTGGGCTGGAGTCAAGGCAACTGAATGGAGCGGAGTGTTTACTGGCCGGATGCCCTTCCTGTCGCAAATGCGGAATTCAGTGCAGCAGCTAATTACTCATTGTTCCCAGAGAGAGAAATATCTGCCGCTACTGAAGATCAAACTCCTGATTGTGAGATAAGAGCTCCACTTCTAGGCCACTGGACCATTCCATCCTATATTTCCTATATATTTCTATTGTTGTTATATATGTTAAGAATAATGCAAATATTATAAGGGAAACAGCTGCAGTCAAACAAAATATATAATACAATAGAATCTTCCACTACTGTGCAACCTCAGTAATAAAAGTGTGTTGTATTACACTTCATAGTATTCTCAGCCAGAATGTTGGAAAGGCAACACATTTATCCATTAACACAGCCACAATTCAGCTTTTGCATCCATTTACACGATGACTATAGGAACTATGGTCTATCTTTGTACATTAACTGGGTGAATGGGTTCATAATCTGAATCACTGGAAACAAGTGAAAAGTTTGGCTTTTTTTTCATGTGAACCAGAGATTTGTTTTCTAATTGTAGCATACTAAAATGTAATGATTCATGATGGATGATTATGATCCATCAACCACAAACATAATTTGGAAAGAAAAGAAAGTCCAAGCATGAGAACCATGGGAATAATCACGTAAGACATATTCATATAGAGCTTTTCTTTGGTGCTGTGTTTATGGTAGCTTTGATTTAGTTATGCTGTGTTATCACATCGTTTGTTTATCACTTAAGATAAAGGACAATATGTAACTGGCAGTGCCACTGTGCAGTATTTTTATAGGTATCATGATTAATATTGACGCTTTGTCATCTCTACAGTAGTCTTAGCAAGTGGAGTTGTGGAATTGCTTCATGAAATCTTAGATTTTCCAGTTAAAATATATTGTTCTGAAAAAGTAGAATGTGTATTAAAATCTACATTAAAAGGATTTTATATTTTATATTTTTTTAAAAGGTAGCAGCTTAGAAAGTGGTATTCAATAGCTAATATGGTTTTCTTCCTTGTGTTTTTAATGCCCTCTTATTCACGTTTATGTAATGTGGACTAGGATATGGTGTTTATGATACGTGACAGGATATTTGGAGGGAATTCAGTTGCAAAATAGTGTACAGGGTTATTGTTGCAATAGAAGCAGAACAAATCGTGCAATCAGTGAGTGATACTTATCCATTTTCCATGTGAACATTGTGTGATCTGACAGAAAGACATTCTGAATGTTTATAGTTTACTATTATGTGAAACCAGTGAGACACACAAAACCTGATATTATGATGCCACAAGATAGATTACAAAGCAGGAGCTAAGCTGGTTATGCAGGCTACACAGATCAGCAATTAGCACAAATCCATCAGTGTCCAAAGAAAAAGGAAGTTTGAGAAAATAATAACTGGAAATCTTTTTTAAAAATGAAAATAATAGGAGAAATACAAGTCAGCATAGTATTTTGCTGGCCTGGTGTAGTATTACACTATGCAGGTATTTGATTTATATTTTTGGATAATGCCATTGGCCATCATCCACCAAATCTTGCTGGTACCTAACTCCATTTTTTTCAGTAGTCTGTAATCAATTATTATGTGTGTTGGCTTATCAGTGCCCTTTCTTCCAAGCTTTTCCTCCCTAATTTTTTTGTAGCATTCTCACATGTAGATTTTTGATATAGATTTGCTCCCTTCTTTGAATATTACCTGTTTGACTCTTAGAAAGCAAGCATGCAGCTTCTCAATACAAACACTGTAAGTAGATGCTTTAAATCATCTATACTTGCAGCAACTCCTGATCTGCAAAAATAACCTGGAAGGTGGAGCTGCAGTCTGTGCTAATTCAAAGTGATAGCACCATCTACAGTCAGAGATGTTGTCTGCAATTATCATTTGGAAACAGCTGCAGTGATTCCTTAACACTTGTTTCCATCCTCCCTCAGCCCAGATGTTATGAAATGCATGATGAAATACATAATGTTTCCATGTTCCAGGAGCTAAATAAAGACACATTTTTGCATTCAGCCAAAAAAAAAAACTGCTTGATTTGAAGTAGGGAAAAAAAAAACTGTACATCAGTGAAAGGGACATGGTTGCTGCTAAACAACCAGACAACCCTTATTTTATTTTCTAAAAGAAAGTCTGTTGACATCATAATTGTGATTCTTCAGTTGTACAGGAAATGCACTCTACCTAAGCTCTTTCCTTTGCATATTTCAGGACAGTTTGATTGCTCAGTTCTAATGAGTGTTGACATATTGTAGAAAACGTTAGTGGTTGGCTAATATAACAACAGATATAAACAATCCCAGTCTGTGAGTTTATAGGCATTGAGGTGTAGTCTTCCAGCTTTTCTGACTTCCACAGTCTAGACGTGTAGGGTGTTTCAATCTGACACATAACTGACTAGAATCACAGTAGGCTGTTGAGCCTGTACAGCAACTTCCTCCTTTAAGTGGGAAGACTGCCTGAAGGGATCTTAATGAATACCTTTTCTCTGAAAGAACTGGCATTGAACAGTTCTATATGAAAGAGCACATTTCTTCATGAATTAACACTTTTATTGATTGGCATTTATTGATTGGCATTTATAAGAACCATTATGTGTAGTTGTATAGGAGTGGGGTAGAAAACAAAGGCCTTACATGCACTTATTAGTGATTGTGACTATTGATACTGATATTGTTACTATTTTTTAACAGAGACTACTTGGGAGCGACCAAGCAGTGTTCCGGGAACTCCAAAGAATTCGGTGAGCCAGAAGAACTCCTTGCCTACAGGTAGGGGACAAATCATCCACAGGCACATGCAGTTACTTTCTCCAAAAGGGAAAGGGATCATAAAAGCTCTTACTATCTACATTAAATGGGAAAATCCCGGTGGTATATTTGCCTATCGTTAGAGAGAAGGTAGTACTAGGAGAATGCTCAGAATTTCCTTGGCAGAGATATGAATAATGTTTAGGTACCATCAAATCAGGTTCAAACTTCGGTTGCTGAATGCAGTATGCTGTTTTGTCAAGAGTCAGGGCAGTGATTTTGGATCCAGTCAGTTGGTTATTTTGGGTCCAGAGACAATAAGCACACAAGCGAATAAAGAGATTTTTAAGTTTTGTTATGAACTCAAAGTCTGTAGAGTTTCTCAGTCATCCAGGTCATGGTTGTCCCAAAGGTGCTTTTTCAGGAAACAACTGGACTTTCTTGTTTTTTTTTTCTTTTGAAGACCTTTCGCTTCTCACCATCAGATTATGAATTCAAATAAATTTAAAAGCATAAGATAAAAAGCATATATACCAAACAAGATGAGATCTCTAATAAGCTACC